GTGAATTTTAAAGGGTGCATTTATTCTGTTGTGGTTTATGCACTATCAACAAAGTAAATTTAATTCAATTCAACAACAGGGTTTGTACACATTTCTGCACACGGAAATTAAGTACTTTTAAGGACCATTAATGAAAAAAGTTAAGGACCTATGAGGAAATGGGAACTGAATAAATTCAATTAAAAATATTATTCTATGCCTGAATTTCACTTTTGTAATACCATCCTAAAAATAAAATAGATCCCTAAGTAATATGCATTATTACTAAACATGAATTAATTAACATAATTATCAATAAGTTTGAGAATAAAATAAACTTCAGTTTATCAAGTAGCATTAAATGTTTTACACTTATAATAGGTTGGACATATTTGAAAGAAGATAAGTGACATTTACTTTTTAGTAATAGTTAGCTTAACGTTGATTCCCCCCCCAGACGTTCTCAATTGGTGATACGCCTACCACTGGTGGTACACAAGAAAAAAATAGGTGGTACACAAAGAAGCAAAGTTTTTTTAACTATTTATTTGAAAAATTAAAACCCCAACATACTGATTGAGTTTTTTTTCTCTAACACCCGTAAATTTATGCAATATGAGCTTTGTTCAAGAGGGTGGTGGTAGTAGTACTTTGTAGTGGTGGTACTAAAGGTTTTCAGTTTTTGTTTAGATGGTACATGTTAGTCAAAAGGTTGAGAACCGCTGGTCTAGAGATTTAGTAAATAGAAGGTAGATTTTATGTAAAACATCATAGGTTAAAATGAGAAGTAAGATCATAATCAGCATGATTCATAACAAAAGACTGAATGTTATCACCGCTGCTGCTTGTTTAGAGAGACCTGCTGATTAGAACAAACCTGAAAGGTCTGATGTAGGCACAGTTGGCAAGTGTTGAAAGTTAGTCAGGTTCTGTTTGATGTAGTTAGTGTTATAGCTTTGTGTAGAGTTCCAGGGGTTGTAACTCAGTTAATATACTTTCAGGTTCCAATAAGCCATTAAAGCACCAGAGGTGATAAGTTGTTTTGTATTATTTTAAGTCTCACTAGATGGAAAGAATAAGTTTTATTTGAATTTCTACATTTTTGTGTTTTATCTTGAAACCACAGTGAGTATTAATGAAAAGCAATAACTCACTTTAATATGTAGAGATAATTTTTAAGGGTAAGCAGTTAGTTATAAATAATTAAATTAGGTAAATAGGTAACCTTAGTCATTATGGATTCATATGGCCACTATTAAATTTTATTTTTAAACAATATTTATTAAAAAAAGCCCTATTAAAATCAAAATTTAATCAAATTTCACAGTTTAAAATATATGTACGTAGCGTATTCGGAAACTAAGTACCGTTTCATTCTAGCGCCATCGCAGCGCTGTGGTAGGCGTCCCGCTCATACGCACTAGTCTTTCTTGTTCACTGACTTTCAATTGTCGCCATTTTGGTTGCTCTATGTTGTGTTTTCAGTTTGCTGTGCACATTCAAAATGTTTAAGACAATTAGTTCTCCCGCTGACTGTGAGATCGGTGCCATGATGAAATTTTTGAACGCGAGGAATGTTAAACCGGCCGAAATTTATCGTCAAGTGACAGAAGTTTACGGTGAATACGCGATAAGTGATGGAATGGTGAGAAAGTGGGTAAGAATGTTTAATGCAGGTCGAACAAATGTCCACGCCGAGGCTCGGAGTGGTCAGCCTTCTGTTGTCACCGATGATTTGGTACGGAAAGTTGATGAAGCAATTCATGAGAACAGACGCTTCAATTTGACAACTCTTTTAGAGGCATTTCCAGAAATTTCGTGTACTGTTTTGTTTGAATTTGTGTCTCACCGCTTGAATTATAGCAAACTGTGTTCCCGATGGGTTCCAAAAATGCTCACTGATGTTCACAAAACAAAGTGACTTGGTAGTGCCCTGACATTTCTCACGCGGTACAGTGATGAGGGAGAAAACTTTTTAAACCAAATTGTGACAGGTGATGAAACTTGGGTGTGACATTTCACACCAGAATCGAAACAACAATCGATGGAGTGGAGACACAATTCTCCGAAAAAACAAAAGTTCAAAGTGACAATGTCATCACAAAAAATCATGTGCACTGTCTTCTGGGATAGGAAAGGCGTTTGGCTTACTGAATTTCTTCCCAGAGGTGAAACCATTAATTCGGCACGATATTGTTAGACTAGGAAAACTAAGGCGTGCCATTCAAAACAAACAAAGAGGAATGCTCCGTAAAAGAATTGTGTTGCTCCATGACAATGCTCGGCCCCATACTGCTGGTGTCACTCAATCGTTTATTCGACAGTTTCATTGGGAGCAGTTCGATCACCCGCCGTACAGCCTGGACTTGGCGCCGTCCGACTATCACTTGTTCCTGCACATGAAGCGCGAGCTTGGTGGCAAGTGCTTTGGATCTGACTATGACACGAAAAATGCTGTGGAGTCATGGTTATCGAAACTGGCGGGAAGTTTCTTTGACGATGGTATACAAAAACTGGTCACCCGCTATGACAAGTGTTTGATCATTGGCGGAAACTATGTTAAAAAATAGTTTAAGATATGTATTTTCATGTAAAAATAAAATTGAATTTGAAAAAATTGTTTTACTATTTTTTTTTTTTTAAACGGTACTTAGTTTCCGAATACGCCTCGTAATTTATGACACTGATTCTTAAAGGATATTAGAATAATTACACATTAAAAGCTACAAAACATTTATGTTTTGTAACAACACTCAACAAAATATTTATCTGTCATTTTGATTTGAAGCTTTCCCAAACATTTTGGCTAGTTTATATCGATTTCCTTCTCTTTAAGCATCTTTTCTAGCAATAATTAGAGATTTGTCTCAATATGCAAAACCAATGCTCTCGCTAGTTTCTGCGTGCTTTATCTCCTAACTTGTCAACCTCTCTACAATGTACCTATGAGGGTTTACTTGATCTCTTATGAGAGAGTAGCCTAAAAAAGCGGACATGTGCTAGCCAAAATACCTGGTATCGCTCTCACTAAGACAGTAGAACTTTGTGGTTAAATACTGCTCTTCCTCATCAGCATTCAGACATGATTCTAAAACTATGTTCTGGCTGGAAGTAGTAAGTTAAAATTAAGAAGCGATAGGAAAGGAAGTTTAACTCAAAATGTAGCTGTTAATAAAATTAACATAATCCTTACAAGTGCAGTCGAATTTAGGAGAGGAGGATCCTTACAAGTAGAGCCAAATACACTATGCAGTCGAATTTAAGATACACAGACATTGCATCAGATGGGAAATTGCCTAGTGCCAGCTCTGTGTATGATGCATTAAGACATATTAAATGGATCTTTTAAATTGTAAATTTTCAATTCTATTATTAATAAGAAAATCCTTTTCTATAATGCCCTCCCAAGTGATAGGATTAGAAGCATTTTTGATATTTTCCATGCTTGTGTCTAGTGAAAAGTAGTGAAAATAAAGGGAAGATAAACATGTTAAGAAAAAGATTCTAGTATCAGGAGTAAAACATTCAAATATTGTTCTTCATTCTTCATTGTTCTTCCAGACCTTCTCCAAAAAGTAAGAAATTCATCGCAAACTTTCTGTAAAATACATCCATTATGCGTTGATATCATGGAGACATTTTTCATTTTGTCACATATTTCTCGAATCTTCTAGAATCGTGGGTCTATAAATCTTTCTTTCAAATCCTTCTAAATTTTCCAAGGTGCAATGCCAAAAATACTAAAGAAAAATTATCCCAACCAATTCTGTAACAGCTAAAAGCCAGAAATATTTTGGGGGAAAAAAAGGAGGGAAAAAGTGTAAAATTAATTTTATAGAGAAAACTGATGCATATTCTGAGAATTTTGAATATTTTGAAACAATTGCATGGGAAAAACGCTTGCTATGAAAAAAATAAAAAGAAAACGTTTTAACTAATTACATAGCTAATTTTGCTTTTGCTAAGAGCTGTTTCGTAAATTATGCTTTATAGCATTATACCTTGTTTACTTTTCAGATTCGAAATATTGTATAATAAGCTGCCAAAATAAAACTTTAATATGACAGCAAAAAATAAAAATGTTTTATTTTAATTTTATTTTTAAAATATAATTCTAATATATTACCATTATTTTAATGAAATTTATCAATGATGTTTAAAAAAAATTGGCAAAAAATTCTCAGATTTTGGAATTAAAAATTTTCTATAGAAACTGATCTTAAAATCACCAAAATGTTGACAAGTCGCCAAATTTAGAATTGTTTAATAAAAGAATTCACATTCCCAAAATCGAAAATTGTTTAAGAGCTCTTTATTACAAAAAATGAATTTCAAAATGCTTATGTTTCACTTCTTGCTTAGAAACTCGAGTACCCCATCATTTATATTAGAAATAGAAACAAATATAACCCATGAACCCATTCAAAAGATTACCATATACGTCAGTGAATCATCAAAAATATTCCTCCAAAATGCTAATTCACACTCAAAATGGCAGTCGCAAAAACAGACAGAAATTTCAGATGATTAAAATTAAGGACTTTCTATTGATTTTGGCCAAAATTAAGGACTTTTAAGGACCAAAAATCGATTCCAAAAAATTTAAGGACTTTTAAGGACTGTACGAACCCTGAATAAGTTTTAATGCAGGAAAAAATGCTTACAATTTAATATTCCATACAAGGAAGTCATGTGGCATACACATCAGCTTTTTAACAATGGCTAACTTCATTTCCTTTTAATAGCTAATGAAATAATTTTGTTCTTTTGTTCACTAAAATGTGTGTCCAGCCCAATCTAAATACGCAGTGATTGTCAACAGCCCCCCTTCACTTTGATGCTTAAAAACCTTTGAGATTCCAACCAAATCTAAACAAGCATTTCAGGAAAACGTTAGTATAACATTTCATAATAAGCAAGATGAGACTGAATAAGTGTACGTTCTAAACAGGAAATCAATTATAAATACCAAAAATACATTATAGAAATTAATTCCTAAATTAAACATTTATGAAACTTACTTCAGGTATAGGTTTTGAGCCTAGTGCCCTAGGGCCTTCTCGTGCCAGATAACTAGCATAACTTGCATTACCCTTATGCTTTTTAACTGGTGGTTTCTCATCTGGCTCTTTCTGAAATAATTAACAAATTAATATGGGGGGGATAAATAAATAAAATTTTTATTAACAACAATTTATACAGGCAACTTTAGATACATAAAAAAAAATCAAATGCATAAGCTGAGAATTCTCATCAAATGTTGTTACAATGATATTAGGTGATAAAATGTGAGATCTGTAACTGAAATAAAAGGAAATATATTGATTGCTTTGGGGATTATGTACAGTGTTTGAGAAGTCTTAATATTTTAAGAATGACTCAGTTTGAGTCAAGTCCAAATTACTGAACTGGAGGCTAAAGCTTAACCAAAAATTTCTAAACCCACCAGTGGCTGACTGATTAAGGCCACTGAATACTAAGTAGGTTGACTGGGATTAGAATCCAGTGAATAGAATATGAGAATGAGTAATTTTGGGGATTTCCTCCATGGTAGCAAACAGTGATTATACATATTAAGTAAGCTCTTTTCACTCCAATTTAAATTTTTAATAGAAACTTAAATAAAGTACTTTATTAATATGGCAGTTGTTCATGAAGATTGAATTGCTAACATTGCATAATGTAATAAAATCCAGCAAAACTCAGTGTAATGTAGATGGATAGATGGCTAGTCAGAGAAAATGATGAGTATTAGGCAGTCTGAAAAGGATATGTAATCCACTGTTAGAAACTAATCTATTAAAATTATGTACAACTCATAATACATTGTTATAACTATATCTGTCTCTTTTAATACATAAAATGCAAATCAATATATATTGTAGCAAAAATATAATTATTGCACTTTAAAAAAAAAGATAAAAAATCATATACATAAAAACAAAATAACTCGGCCTTCTTGAAGATAAATCTGCTGATAATTGATAATCTCTCACTTTCATCCCTTTTTCATGCTGTTTCATCATATAAATGAAACATAGAATAAAATTTCTTAATGCAAGATTTCCTTATGAGCTTACAGTATGTCACTATATGACATCATCATAACATTTCCACTAAACAGCTGCCAAGCTTGATATATGAAAAACTGGGGAATTTCCAAGATGTTTTTTGCACAGCATGGTGATGCCATTTCAAAAGAATTTCAAAATAATTTAAATTTATTTTATAATGCAAGCTTTAGATATATTGAACTATCTAGAATGTGATTCTGATGTAAAATATAATAATATCTAGTTAAATATTCTAAATTTTATGGCCTTCAGCAAATTTAATTTTGTAATTTTCTAATGCTTTTATACTGTGAAAATCCTAACTAAGAACTTTTATTTATTAAAGTATTTTTAAATAAGATGAAAATAAAATTCATAATTAATGTACAGACTATTGCATGGGCAAAATTAGTAACCATTTACAAGTTTTAAATACAAATATTAATTGATTAAACATTGGGTGACTCATTGTAAAACTTCTACATATATCTACAGTATATTAAGATAGTTCAGATCAAATAAACTTTAAAAAAGAAAAATTATGCTGAAAATCACCAGAGATGGGAGAATGTAATTTGCACAATTTAAGTTTCATTAATTGAAGAAATTTAATTTACTTCTGGGAATCATTTTCCAAAATGAAAAACAAACATTAGAAACTGGAAGAATTAGTAGCTATGCTATGGTCTTTCCCATCTGCTGGTTCTTTAAATTTTTCTTCTACCAATACAACTGTATTATTTCCCAGAAGGTGATCACTTACATTTTGTCTCATCTATTCGCCATCATCACTATCAGCAATTTTTTCACATGTAATTTTCATTTTTACATCTAAAATTTTCCACTATTTCTAGTTCTCTTGGAAATGATTTTTAAGAGGTACAACAACTCTCTTCAAGAACAAATGAAGATAATTAGCTGAAATTTTTATGGTACAGTTATGCTAATGTTTATGCATGTCATCCTGTATCCATCAGCAGAAGGTGCAAGGGATTTCTTGTTCTCTACATTTTAAAATCATTACTTATTAAACTTTACTTCATGACCACTTTGTATCTCCTTCTCTTATATCTAAATAACTAAAATTAATTATTAGGTTTAAAATTAAAACTTTTTTGCATATATAGTTTATACATCATAGAAAATCAAAATATTTGTTGATGCAGTAAAAGCCCACTTGTTCAGCATTTAATTAAGTGAATATTTCTTTTTTAAAATTTTAGATATTTCTTTTTTAAAGTAAAATTAAGCAAAAAAGATATTTGTATTTCCATTATAAAGCAAGAATATGGCTATGATTTTAATCAAACAAAAAATGCTACCAAACAGTGCAATTTAGCACCAATAATGGATAAACATGATGCAATGCTTTCTCTTTAAGTAAACCTAATTCTCAATAAGTCAGTTTAATTTCTGTATAAAATTATACAAGTTAACCATTGCCTACCTGTATTTCAATCGCATTTTGAAAAAAATTATAAAATTTGGGACTTATCATCAACACAATAAATAGCATGTAATACAGTATTTTCAAGTTTATGCAATTTTGTCATAGAGAAAAGAGTCACTTACTTGAAAATGGATATACACAGGCAGTGCAATGTAAAAAATTACAATAATTTAAGAGTTTATATACTATGTCTGTAACCTGCATATTGATTAACTAAAGAACGATGTGTTCCTTCAAACTTCTGCTGGAATGACTGTTGTAAGTTTAGCAAGATTTCCACCAATTTTCATTGTCAACAGAGTTTTGTAATCACATATGATATTTTACTTCAGTGTTTATGCCTGAAGTGCTCTTTTTTGTTTGAATATCTAACATAACTTAAATGTAGGCATTTGATATTCAAGTTGACAACAGATAAAATGCCTCTTTTTATAGTTTTAGACCAGAAATTTTTTCTTCCATTCATTTGGTTTTTCTACCATGAATGCGTTTCTTAGACACACAATTATCTAGAATTCTCGAGTACCAAGTATTTGGCATTTCCCCAAGTTTTCTGGATAATCGAGTTTTTTACTGTAATTTGAATTTAAATTCCATTCCTCTCACACTGATTTCTGATAGATTTGCAATCACAATCTTTTTTTACTTTCAAGTATTATGGAGATTCATTTTAAACATAATTATCGAATTTTCAAAACCACAAGAAAACTAATATGTACATCACTTACCTCTATATGAGGTTTTACACAATTTGCAATTAATTCCATTTTAGCAGAGGTGTGTGATTTAGGACTTTTTTTTGGTTGCACTTTTTCTATAATATATGGGAAAAAAATATCAAAATCCTGAAAATATTAAATACTTTAAATTAAATATTTTGATATAAAAGATTTTAAAATTATATTGAAAATCTAATTTTTACCAGTTAGCCATTTTTTACGTGGTATTTTATTAAACTGGGTCTGATTATTATAGATCACTTACAAGCACAATTTTATCAATTTATATATCAGCAAAATTTACTTGCATAACTGAAGCATATTATGTTTTGCTTTCATTTGAATAAAGCTATCAGCTAATCTCTTAACAGTCAAACCCATTCTCCTTTGGGGGGGGGAGTAAACACAAATTCTAACTTTTAAAAATCTTTAAAAAAAAAAATGCATAGTGCAGTGGTCTCAAACTTGCAGCCCTTGAATATATCTCAATTATGTATTTGTTGCAAAAGATTTCATGATTTTCATCATTTGAAGTCACAGTTTTATATTATTTTTGGTTCTCTTGGAAATGATTTTAAAGAGGTAAAACAACTCTCTTCAAGAACAAATGAAGATTATTAGCTGAAATTTTTATGGTACAATTATGCTAATGTTTATGCTTGTCAAATAAGAACCCTTAAAAATGAAAATAAACCCTTAAAAATGAAAATAAATAAAGCACCAGAAGTTCTATACACGGAAGCAATTAATTTACTATCTGATATAAATCTTATTCAAAGATTTAAAAATATAGATTTGATTAACTTTTATTTTACTTGTAAAAATAAACAAGCTCAGTTACAAATTTTCGCACTAAGAATTATCATTTTACTTGAGAATAAAGATAAACAAGCTCAGTTACAAATTTTCGCACTAAGAATTATCATTTTACTTGAGAATATATTTATATGTGAACAGCATTTTGTCACAGTTAAAAATTAATAAGAACTCGATTGACCAATGAGCATCTACAATCCATAATGAAGACAATTTTTCTCCAAGGTTACAAACTTCATCAGAATCAAAAAGCCATCAAGTGTCAAACTGTAGTAAGAAATTACAGAACTTTATAATTATTTTACACACTAGCATATGTATTTTTATTTATGCACTGAAGAAAAATTTAATAAATAAAAGAAATACATTACATTGTCATTATTTATTCTCAAGTTTTGTTCCAATTGTAAAATTTTCTCTGAAAACTCAGAAAGTTTCACTAATTTCTTACTTTTAGTTTAAATTTCAGTAAATTATTTAATGATTAATTAAACAGTTACAATTATTTAAAATAAATAAAAGTATACTAATATACTCCTTATCTGCACATACTATTTACACTGTTACTAGAAATCATGAAATTTTAAACTATATGCTGATTAACATTCTTTTTAATTGCACAACATACTTTACTACCTGCATGTATTTTTGACATCGTTACTAAAATCAGAAATTTCTAAATCATAGCAAGAGAGAAAATATATGAGTAAATACAGTATTTTCTATCCAATAATAAAACTACTCCTGTATTCAAATTTTATGAAAGCAATGAATAATTGAAAAATATTGTCCATATATAGAATGCTGGGCATTGATATAATATACTTTTATGCCACATGACATAGTAATATTTCAATAAACATAAAAAAAGTTATTTGGAATAAAATAAAATACTAAAATAATATTCATATATTAAAAAATAGTTAAACAATTTTATGGCTGATTATTTACAGATAATGCATACCAACTGTAGGTTATCTGTGGGCACAATACCTATGATTTTAGTATTAAGCTTTTAAATATTTCATTTAAACACTATGAAATATTTAGAAGATGAACATAAATAAAATATAATCACAAAACATGAAATATATTAAAATATGCAGTGGTAAAATACAATAAACTATTTTAAAATCAGATTATAGTATTTAAATTATACAACCCATGTCTCTTAGATAATTAAATAAATTCAAATTGACTTCTTTTCTGATTAGACAGACAAGAGGTAAGTTAAAACTATTAAAATACCTTTGACGAAGACACTTCAAAAGTGAATGTACATACCACAGCATCAATAACTTAGTAATATATTATTTACTTGCGAAACATTGCTTTAATAAAACAAACTTTTAATTAAAAATTCAAATAATGTTAATTAAACAACAAGCATTAGAAATAGTAACAGATTAAACACTGACTGAATCTAATCAAGACAATTCAGATTAAAAGAAAGAACAAAAAACATCATGCTGAAAATCACTAAATGGTGGGGGAAAGGAATTTGCATTTATTGTTCAGAAATAAATGGAAATTCATAATTGCAATAACTGCAAATTTATTCAGGGATCTATTGAGGCATGCAATGAGTAAGAAGTTAGAAGAGTAAGCAGGCTAGTTAGTGAGTGTTAGATAATGGTGTGCTACACATTAATAAATTTTCCATTACTGACTTTGGAAGACAGATTGAACAAACATAGTAACTGAAAATTAAAAAGTGATAAACACAACGAGCAAAGAATATTATTCAGCATTTAATAAAAAGTAATGGAGGCATAAAGAGGCAAATTTAATTAATGAACTGAACTATGATGTTAAATAATCATTTATATCTTTATACATTTGAAGACAAATGCTTAAAAAGATTATTATTATTACCTTTATTTAACTTAGGGCTTTCTCTTTTGCCCACTTGCTTTTGAACCTATTTGTAAAAACATGTTCCAGTAAGAATCAAGTTCAAATACAAAATATAGTCAAATATTAAAATTCCTAGCAGTTTAGTAAGTGATTGGGGTACCTTTAATTATTGATTATGAAAGTTTATTATGTAATTCTAGCATTACTTTTTAAGCCAGTGGTGGTGAACCTTTATGGAGCCACGTGCCCCAAACTTTTTTTTTTTTGAGGTGACCGAGTGCCCAAAATCTCTTTGATTAAATCCCCATCAGAGAGCGGTTTATCATGTTTTGTCAGGCACAGTGAAATTTGGAAGCTGGCCATTGTTAGATGGTTTGTTTTAGAAAGATAATTGCAGAAACTAACTTTCTGGTAATTATAATTCCTCAATTTCCCTTCAATAAACACCTTCCACTCAACTTCATCAAATTCGGCAACAATCTTGTGGTTGGTGTTAAAGTGCCATCTGACACTAGATGTGCGACACACAACACTTTTCTCACACAGAATGCATGATGCTTTCTTGTTGTGTTTCATAACTCCAAATGATTCTGTCCAGGTCTCTTGCAATGATCATCCAACATCAATGATTAGTTTTAGTTTTGTCTTTTTTTGCCGGAATCATTTGTGAGGGTTCAAGACCTGGAGTATAAAAAATTTATTTAACAATGAAAGTATTAAAACTCACCGGCAGTTTGCAATAAATTTGAATTCCTTTAACAAACATTAGCTGTTTCAACTTTGGCATAAATATGTATATCTTTTCTATGCCGATCTATGAAAAATCTTACTTCCAGGCTTAGGCCCTGCCAGTGGCATTATGCAATAAGTAAGTAAAATGTTCAAGAACAGACTAAAACAGTTATTTAAATTACATAGTATCATTTTATTGTGAATATTGATTAGGGAAGTAGTATTTTAGTCATGTGCCTGCTGATGAGGCTCTGCGTGTCAATTGTGGTACACGCGCCATAGGTTTGCCATCACTGTTTTAAGCAATAGGTTAAAAAAATGAAAGAAGGTGGAAGCAAATGAATTATTAGACTTTGAGATAAATGTGTTTAAGAAACTCAGTATACATATACAACTAGAGTCAGTCATGCTCCTGCATCTGCTGATTCATTATTCATGATTAGCTGCAGTATTCCACTTTTTTAAGCAAACATATAAACCATTCATAAACTACAAAATGTGTCATATGAGAATGAACTACAACATGGTGAAATACAGCTGCTAAACACTCTGCATTCCAGTTCCTGATCATGAACACAAATACACGCGAGTTTCAATTTGATTATTAGTTTTTTATATAATGTTTTGGTGAAAAAGCATGATGTTTATTATATTTTTTTATTCTTGAGACCATACATGATGCTACACTATACAAGCACACCATTAATTCAATGTCCTATTATCTCTACAGAGTTCAGCTAAAATATCAGAATCCCTCAAATTTATCCATATGAAAGAGGAACTATGTTGTATATGTGCAATGCAGCTTACTACATTTTTCAGTATTGGTAATGTCTCACTGTATACAATTATAAATTAATTTTATCATATTTATGCAAGTTACGCAAAACAATGATCTCAGATATGTGTGGCAGGTCTTGTAATACTTTATAAACAAATATAAAAGCACTATAATATATAATTTTCAATATATATACATTTGAATGCAGCTGACTTTGCCTTATAAAATCAATCTGATGGATAATATTGATAATAATATTGATAATAATTACCCGAATTTTAGCTTTTGTTAAGTACCGAGTTGACAGATTCTAATGAATAACAAAATGATTCCTGCCCTTCAAGTCTAACAAAATTACAACTAAAAATTACTTTTACATTACAAAATTATGAAGGTTTTCAAAATTATACCATTTTAAAAATAATCGCAGAATTTTCAATACTAGTATGCACATTATACATACCTCTATATGAGACTTTACAGAGTTGGAAGTTTTCTCCACTTTAAGAGGACTGTGGGATTTGGAAACTTTTTTTGGTGATACTTTTTCTATAAAATATGATAAGAATTACAAAAGTCTTGCAAAAATATTTAAACTAACTATTTAACTTGGAAAACATTTCATTCTGCTTATCATGTGATATTTTCAAAATCCCAAAATACAGTGTTATTCAGAAGTCTCCTAACTCTCATTACAAGTATTATTTACTGTAACAATGAAAAACATTTCTGAGTACTGGTATTTGGAGTAAATGTGTTTGATTTTTGATGAAATGTTCATGTGCATTACAGAGCAAAATATCACACATAGTGAGAAGAAGGTGGGGAAAAAAACATTAGAGTACCATAGTACCATAATCTCGCATAAGAATAAAAGTTTGCTATGTTAGAAATATGTTAAAAGCTGAATAACATTATAAATGGCCATACATGATACCTTAATGAGAATTTTGAACACAGTGGTGACAAACATAAGTCATCATATGGATTTATAGAAGAATATGGTAGTAATTTTCTATAAAAGGATACTTTTTGTCCATCTTAGTTATAACTTTGTAATCCTATGGGTTAATATTATACAAAAAAATTAGCAGCATATTAAAGGTCAGACATTTTTAGATTAAAGTTCAGGAGTTTCTGTCTCAAACTGTCTAACCTAATCAGCACCCTCTACAACACTATCAAGAAGGATGTACTTTGAAATCTAATCCTCCCTTTGGATGAGCTGCTTTAATATTATTATTTTATGCCTCAAAAAAAATTAACCTAGTTTTTGTAGTATTAACTAAATGGAATATGCCTGGTGTAATTGTGAAGAAAGATTTTGGTGATATTTTCCTCTCATTCATGAAAGCGATAAAAAAGGGTTAATTCCTTCTTTCCCTTATTTCTATACATACTTACTTTCTTTAATGAAGATCGGAAAGATTTGAAATTATGTCTAAAAAATATGACAAATAATATGTACATTAAAATGAAACAAATAAATAAAAAAGGTACAGCTAATTAATTTTTATCAAGTGTCAATCTTACCAGTCTCAGAATCTCTTTTGCTAAGACATAAGCAATAATAAAAATATTTTTAAACACTACTCTGGTTGCTAATGATAAAACTTAATTATTCATTCAAGAAATAATAATCAGCTTTTAAGAGGAAAATTAAAAGATCAAGATAAATCAAATTTTCAGGAAATATTATTAATTCAATAAGAAAAAAAACATGAAATTCTTAGAAATTTATATATCATATATTTCCGCGCATTACCCGAGAATTTTTCAAACTTTTTCTAAGCTAAATTATGGAGGTCAGCTTGTATACAAATCTGCAAATCTCACAAAAATCATAGGCATATTTCTGTTAGTTCAGCCGGGAGCAAGAAATCATTGTCAAATATCACACTTTTTTATTTAAGTTTATGGAATTTTTTTTTAATGAAATGAGATATTCACTCTTGAGATAATAAACTATTTTATTTTTCAAATGGTTTATAATGTTCGTTTAGTGCATCATCACCAACACGAAAAGTCTGATACTTGCGAAATTTGCCCCTCGCTTTCTTCAATCTTGAACTCGTTTTTCAGAGGATGTGACAGACAGAGTATATGAAGCCCAAACACCTTCTCTGTTATAATTACGAATCTGCTCCAAATGTTTGACCAAGTATTAAGCTTATCCGATAACTCCAATCATTAACCAAAGACTTACCTCCACTTTTGCCTATAAAACAACATTATCAACAGATACTAGTCTTCCTGAACAAGGTAAGTGAGTCACAAAGATCATAATTAGTCAATTCAAACCTAACAATTAGACAATTCAAAGCAAACCACCTTTGGTATTTAGAGACATCTAATGAGACTGGAAAACATCACAAATGCTTTTTACAGCTTTTGCTGCATTACTATTTTTCTGAAATTTGAATAACATGCAATGCTGAATATGCTGCTATTCTGGTTTTTGGCTTGATGTTTCATCAAACAGGGATGTTATAGAAGGGAACTGATTCATAAAACGAAAGAAAAGAAGTTAGTTTCACTTGCAAAAATAACTTTCTCAATTTCAGTGTACACACTCAAATGAGTAGTATTAAACAAATGGGGATATGAATAAATATGACATTACTTTCTTCCCTTCCTTAAGTTCTTTTACACTCACATTCAACATTTTTACTGCAGTAATAAAATTATACTAAATATAATATCAGTTTTAGAGTGAAAAAGTTGAACATAGCCCTAGTATTCCTTAAAAGAAGTACACTTCCATTCCATTATTCAGTATATTTGAATAAAAAATTTTCCAAAGTCTAGGTCATCTTGGTGTAAAATTTTTATATTTATATAATTCAAATGCATTGCGTCTAAAATAGCTGTTTCTTTTATTAAAATAATATTCATCATTACAAGACGAGCATCCCCGAGAACTTCATTTTCAATACTTATATACCCTGTTTATTAAAAGACTGAAATATAAACAAAATTAACTGAAATTTGAATCAAATCACACATAAAACAACATTTATAAGTAAAATATAAATTATACATTTTTTACTAACTATGTTTATAAACTTTAATTTTACATTAAAAAAAATTAAAATAAATTGAACACTTCACAAATCTTTGTTCATTTAAAAGTTTCCAAGGAAAAAAAAAAGTGAAATTAAAATGCTATGAAACAATTTGAAACACAAAAACAAAATTATAGCATCTTTGCATCAGATTTAATTAAGACAATTCAAATCATTATTCTTACTTAAAAAAAAATGCACTACACAATAAGCATAACTGGCATTGTTGATATTAGATTTATATTGGAATACTCATTTTAAGTAAAGGAAAGAAAGAGAAGTTTATCACATTATAAGTAAAATATAAATTATACATTTTTACTATGTTTATAAACTTTAATTTTACATAAAAAATTTAAATAAATTGAACACTTCACAAATAGCATAAAATGTAACTTATGTTTTTGATAATTAACAAAGCATGCATTTTTAGTAAATAAATTTATCAATTTATAAATGATGTATATGTTTTACAGTTCTGATAATTGGAGTCACAATAAAACAATTGCTTTGATAAGTCAAGTCAGAAAATGAGCATGGCTGAACTTGAACTAACAATGGGAAGCACTGCACAGACCCCAGATAGATAATCATATGCTACAAATTGTACATGCAAATGGTTCAAAAGTTGTTATTACCTTTATTATGACTTTCATTTTTCTTCACTTGTTTTTCAACCTATTCATAAAAATGTGTTCTTGTAAGTAATTACTTTAAGTCATTAAATGCTTTCAACAAGAATTGAAATAAATATGCTCAGTATAGAACAACATTGATTATGGCACATATATCAAACACTGATTATTAAAATTTATGACATTACATTTTGCTGGTGACAAATATTTCAAAATTTTGGAATTGCATTAAAAAACTGAAAAGCACAATTATAAAATGTTATACAAGAGAAAGAAAGAAAGGGATTAAGAATATTTAGACCAAATAAATTTAAAATCAAATAGTCTGAATATATAAAGAAGCCAATACATTTACTAGGTTCAAATCTGAGAAACATTGAAAAGAACATTAAATATCAAAAGAAAGCTTTATGCCTGCTTATGACGAATGGCTTATACTATCTTTGATGTAATCTTTGGTATTTCTCTTAAGTTTCTTTTTATCATGAAGCACAATAAAGAAAGGGAGGGAGATATAAGAAGAAGAAGAGGATTATAAGAAGGAGAGGTGCGTCTTATATAATGAAAGATGAATAGTTGAGTAGTACATACTCAATTATTCATCATGATGTGAGTTAATGCAAACTGAAAAAATGAATAGCTATGGTATGTAAATAGTAATGTGGGAACTGTAACTGTAACTAAGTTTATGTAAGAGTGCCATCTAGATTAGGGTGTGGTCAAATGAGATGAGACGTGAACGATAGTGAGGACAGACGTGTAATAAATGTTTTGATGATTATTCTTTTTACTTTTCTTTTCATTCTAATTAAATAAATAAATCCTAGTTTAACTTCATGAGTTGTAATTATGCTTATCTTCCCCATATATTGGTATTAGAAGTTTCAATTTTGTGCTCATAGTTGGATTGTGCCATTTGGATTACTAATGTTCACCCAAACGGATTACAGGTGAGCAATTAACATTTATCAATTTCATTTTGACTGTACAATTGTTTAAAGTAATAAACATGTCTTCAGAAGAAAATTTTGAAAAGTTAAAATGAAAGCGTAGTATTGAAAGAAGCAGTACTACGAAACTAATTTCAAGAATCGATGTTGCTTTAGCAGATGAAAATGTTACATGTGATATCTTAGACGAACATTTAGAAGTTTTAATAGAGAAAATGAATAAACTAAAGTGCTTAGATAGTCAAATTGAACATTTCATTGATGTAAACTTAATTGAGGAAGAAGTAAACACTAGCACTGATTACCAAGAAAAATGTCTTAGGTATACTAACAAAGAGAAACAGAGAGTTTTACTAACTCATCGACATCTGAAAAACTGTTAGGTACTCTAAATGATAGTTTAAATTTACCCTCTTTAGTTAAACTTCCTAAGTTAACAATCAAACCGTATTCAAGATATAAGAAATTGTGGAATGAATTCTGGAATTCATTCGAAACCACTATCGATCGAAATGATTCACTTTCAAAATTGAAAAGTTTGCCTATTTAAAAACATATTTGACTGGAGGAGCCTTAAGTGTAGTACCTGGTTTTCAATTAACTGATAAAAATTACGACAACTGTGTAAAGTTACTTAAAGATTGTTTTGGTCGAAAATATTATTATAATTGATTCTTTTATGAGTAAACTTTTAAACTTGCAAAATTTTAAAAACTGTTCAAATGTTCCAGCTTTGAGAAAGTTATATGATGAGTTCGATATCGCTATACGAAATCTAGATTCACTGCAAGAGGATTCAAAATCCTATGGTCCACTTTTGATTTCAATTGTTCTAAATTTATTGCCAGAAAATCTTGTTTTAAGATTTTAAGCGAAACACATATTCAAAATGCGATGTAACAATTTCTGACCTTCTTTCTTTTTTAAAGTGCGAAATTCAATCTTGTGAATCTACATTTTTAGCTACGTGATAGAAAAGGTTTCTCAGCAAATTCCAGTAATTATCAGTCATCTAAATGCTATAATTGTAATGGATTTGGTCATTTATCTAAATTTTGTCCCGACGAACATCGCAGACCCAAATATTTATCTTGTGGAAATTTCGGTCATAAATCCTTTACCTGTATTAAGAAAACTCCGAAGCAAATTGACAAAAATAACAGTCCAATATCTGAAAAAACGAATGCTGTCACATCAATCAACTTTCATGCGCCGAACCTACTCTATAAAGTAATCAAAATTAATGATATATCACTCACCGCTATCATTGATACCGGAAGCGAAGCAACGGTTCTGTCTAACGACATTTATAAACAAATCGGGAATTACGCTTTAAGTGTGTTTCCTAATATGTTAACTGGCTTTGGTAATGACAAAATTAAACCAATGGGTTATTAATTGGGCTGACATTTTAATAGATACGGAATTATTTACGACTAATGCTCATGTAGTAGACAGTAATGTAATGCCATTTGACGCTATAATTGGCATGGACATCCTTAAACAGGGTGAAGTTAATATAAACAAAGATGGTGTTCATATTTCTAAACATGTTGTTAAACAAAATGATCCGGAAGATGTGTACAGCAATAATATTTCTCTTACTCAAACATTTGAACTAGAAATAGGTCCTACTGCTACAAAAGAACAAGTTAAGCCTCATTTCCACTACTGCGTACGAACGCGTTGCGTCAATTGAAGACACGCCTACGGCATCCGTACAAGCGTTTCCACTGCCGCATATCCGTAGAATATTTTCATTTCTGCCGCTAGGTGTCACTGTAATATTTTGGTGCCAAACAAGCACTTCGTGAGTTACGACGCTGAACATCTGAATTTTTCCCGTTTAAGCGAGTATTGTTTGTTTGGGATTTGATATGGATCCTGACGTAAACGCAGAAAAGTTTTGTTTACTAAATTCCATGTTATTGGAAATTTTTATTTCTGCTTATGAACTGCGAAAGTAAAGTACGCTAGCAATTTTTAGATAAATAAGGTTATAATGAACTTCACTAATTCCATAGAAGCTGAAGTAAATTTTAAAAAATTTTTTGCGTTTCTAGAAGCCTTAAATATTAATGAAATAAATATATATATATTATTAAACTAAAATGTACTGTTAGTGAAAAATAAACAAATAAATAAATAAAATAAAAAAAGTTAAAGGAATTAAAAAATAGTTGGTACTTTAAAAATACAGAGCAACTGTAAAGAAAGGTTCACAATATTTACACAAAATTTGCTATGCTTGTATACCGCTGGTTGCCATGGGAGATCGTATACCTTTAAAATATGCCCAAATTTGGTCAGAAAGCAGGTAATAATATATAAAATTTTAGCATCGATTTCTTCAGGGTCATAGCTGGATAATTTATTAGAAATCTCGTTTGTTTTAAAAGGCACTATGGGCAGTTATATTTTATGCATAATCCATAAAATATTATTGTTAATTTAAACATTTCTTAATTCATATCTCTTTTTATAGAAGAAGTTATAAAAATAACCCCTTTCTCTTTACATATACACACATATGGAAATATTTAATTAATTAATGGTAAAGAAAATGGAAGTATTTAATTAATTAATTCCTTGCGCTTCTGCTGGAGAGAACTGAATTTAAAAGCAATTATTATAGTAATTTTTTGTTAAAAATGTTTAGGGTTAATACTGTCTCATGTTAACTGGAATGAAAGTTTAGAGTAGTAAACATCCCAAAGTCTGAGCACATGTATATACATTCACATAAAAGTGAAATGAAAATATATATATATATATCCACAGGGTTTTAAAATAAATTAAATTTAAATAATTCTCTTGCGCCGTTGCTACATGGAATGAAATTTGAATTTAACAAACATTTTCTATTCGTAAAAAACAAATTTAAAGTTAATTAAATTTAAATGAAATTTAATGCAAACAAATAAATGATTAATTATTGCTGTGAACTAACATACAATATCATTTAAATTTTGAGAGCATATGTAAATCAAGTGCAAGTATCAAAATCCACGAATAAATATAATTCCAAAAATTTATTTATTCTATTATTCACTTATGCATTTTATAAATTTTTTAGGATTAAATCTATCCTATTATTCATTTATGCATTTTATAATTTTTTAGGATTAATAAGCTATCCAATTATTCACTTATGCATTTTATAATTTTTTTAGGATTAATAATCTATCCAATTATTCACTTATGCATTTTATAATTTTTTTAGGATTAATAATCTATCCTATTACTCACTTACGCACTTTTAAATTTTTTTTAGGATTAATAATCTACGCATTTTTATAAATTTTTTAGGATTAATAAATTTTTGGAATTATATATTTATTCATGAATTTTGATACTTGCACTTGATTTACATGCGCTCTCAGAATTTAAATGATATTGTAGATTAGTTCGCAGCAATAATTAATCACTTATTTATTTGCATTAAATTTCATTTAAATTTAATTAACTTTAAATTTGCTTTTTACAAATAGAGAATGTTTGTTAAATTCAACTATATATGTACAGGGTATGCTTTAAATTAGTATTATATCATTTTCAAACTTTTTTGCAGGGGGAATTTTAAATAAATAAGAGTATAAATAAAACAATATATTTAATGCATATAATATAAATAAATTATAAAACACGAATATAGATCAAATTGGAACAAAAAGCTGAGAAAGTTGCAGACAGGGTGCAAAAAGCGTATGGGATTCGAACTCACGACCCCCAAAAGTTAACATTATATAATTAAATATTATATAGATTACAACAATAATATATACAGGAGCTAGGAGCCACTCACGAAACGCATGGAGGCAGCATGTGGGCACGGAGGCCACACGTTCCCCACCTCTGGCTTAACCAATCAAAATTAAATTTTGGATACTGTTATTTGAAAGTATGTGCTTGAGATTGTAATTATTTAAAACAATAGAGCTTTCATGATTACGGTTACTGTGAAATAATTTTAAAAAGGAACACCCACATTTTTCCCGCGCAAATTGATCAACGCATTGAAAAACCATAAATGCCATTAGAACAATATACATGTGATGAAAATTGCTGGTGTATAATATTTGCTAAGAGGAGCATTGTAAAGGACCAATGACAGCCAAGAGAGAAGAGGGAGAAAACTTTTATTGGAATTGCAAGTTTTCAATAAGCCCATATTTGCATATGATAATACATTACATGTGGGAGATTGTTGACAACAATAATGGTCCTAGCACTGCAGAAGGAATCTGTATCATTTCATGTTTCATGGCATCTCTTAATTCTGACATATAACATTCATATATGTTCACAGGTGCTTGGGCAAGTGCTGCAATAACTACCACTGCAAACCCATCCTAACTCTTAAGGATTTTTGTTCTTGGTATTATCTGAAATATAAGGGTGTACACATCAAAACCACGAGGCTTGTCAGAATTGAAAGATGCCATAAAACGTGAAGTTATATAGATTGTGTTCCTGTGATGTTATGTTCATCATTGTTGTCAACAATATCTCACATGCAGTGCATTATCTTCTGTGGAGGTGCACATATTAAAAATTTGTAAATTTAAGTAGTTTTCCCCCCTCTCCACTCTTGTGTTGTCACTGGATCATTACAATGGTCTTCTTTGCAAATGTTTTATGCCAACAATTTTCATCATACATGTATTCTTCCAAAGCCATTTATAATTTTTCAATGCACTGATCAATTTGCTGAGGGGAAAAGTGAGGGTTGCCTTTCGAAATTTTTACACCATAATTGTATTCATGAAAGCTCTATTGTTATAAATCATCACAATCTTGAACACATACCTTCAATAAATATTACCTTAAATTTTATTTTGATTGGTTAAGGAATAGGCTGTTAGGGCTTATTATTATCGAGGAGTTTTCTTATGACCACTCTATGTGTGTTTGTGTATAAAAAAATATGTAAATCAAAATTCTAACAGCCCATTATTTCCCCTTTCTAGTCTAAAAATAACATGATTATAATAAATCTCTCTAAACTGTACCATTTTAGTTTAACTTAATTCTCATTATATAATTCTTATATTATGTTAATTATGCATGTATTTATATGCATAGATTGAGTTATTTTGGCTGTGTTTGCATCAAAAATACATTTATTATTACACATACACACATATTATATATGCATACACACACAAACACATGTATGAAAATGAATAAATACAGAGGAAATAGCAATTCAAATCCTAATCCATTTGAAAGCAGCAACAAGTGGTGGTAATAACACAAAAAATATAATAAATTAAAATAACACATTTAAAATCCATCCTATATTCAATTCAGAAGAAACAAAATGAAAAAAACTAAGATTCCATGTGTTTTTTTTTTGGGGGGGGGGGCGATGTTTGGTTTGTTCCAAATTGAATATGGGATAGGTTTTTAAACTTCTTATTTTAATTTACTTTATTTTCTGCATTACACACTTATATACATATACACACATACACATATTTATTTGTTTCTAAACAATTTCAATGCGTCAAAATGCTTCTTACTTGCAAGTTACTTCCTATTGATAGATAAATTGATTAACTAGTCATATACAATCTAATAAAAATTAAACTAACTTCGGGCAATTTTTCTGGACTTAACCTTGAAAGAGTTTCTTCAAAGTCATCATCTTCATGTATTCTTTTAATAACTGACTTCTATAAATAAATAAATTGACTAATTAAATATATGAAAAACAGAAATGAGGATAATGCATATCTAAAAGACATAATACATATTTTGTTCCTTCAAGATATTGGAGGACATTCAAGAGATGGGAAGGGGATCATTATTTATATTTCAAAATATATAACATCCATTCAATGTAATTTTCCTCCAATGTTTAATTTTCAATAAATTTAAAATTGTAAAATTTTCTAAATTATCAAGCTATAATGAACTCTTCAATTTTAATAATAAAAAATGGCATATGAGGAAAAAATTTTCTATAAGATGGGTGTAAGAGAAATAGGGACTTCAACAAAAATATTCTTTTCCTACATGATAGTTATTCAACAATTACATTTATTGAAATAGGGAATCCTTCTATGCAACAACAGCAATAAAATTAAAGAGACAGAGATGCAAAAACTTGAAAAAATGAATTTTACTGTACATGCTAATGTTGTGTGATATTATGTCTAACTTCAAACTAGCCAAAATAAAATTTCAAATAAGTACACCTTTATTAATGAGAATTATTCAATAGATATGATAATCAGATAGTGCAATTAAATCAAATGATAATATGTTCCTTTTACATGAGTCAATAATCAGTAAACATATTTTTTTTTAATATTATGTAATATTTTGGGGCCAATTTGCAGAGATAAATTTGTTTTAAATCCTGTAATGTTATAAAAATTGTTTAACAAAAAAGGAGAGAGACAACTATATAATTAGAAATACTGCAAAAATAGACAATTAAAAATACTACAAAGGAGTTGATATTTATAATAAGTAATTGATGTTTTTCAATAAAATATTAAAATACTGCCCACTTTGAATGAAAATTTAATTTTAGAGATTAATACATTTCATTAGTGAAACTGTTAAATGTCATACCAAATTTTACTTTAAAAAAAAAGGGTAGCATGTTAAGAAATGGATGGGGCCTTTTGTTAAAAGAAAATGTTATTATGATGCTATTTAGATTTATTTAGATAAAAATGCTGTTTAGATTATACAACACAATTTCAAATTGAAACAAAGCTCATACAGTAAGAAATTATTTACAAAAGGTTTTAATTCTAGTTAGTTGTTTTTAATTCTACTGAGCATGCTACAGAAATTCTCTTTGATGATGACCAGATACATGCTGTCATGGACTAGCCAAACTGATGCTAACAGTCAGTCTATTTAGCCAAATTTATGAATTATAATTATTCAAACTGCTCACTGTAATGACTTGTTTTCAGTAAGAATCTGTTACTTATAGATAAGTAATAACATTAAACCAGTGATCACCAAAACGTCGATCACGAGCTACTAGCAGCTCACGGGAGCATTTTCAATAGATCGTTTTCAATTGATCCGGTTTGCTAACCTTGATTCCCCCCACTGAGCTGACACTGACAGGGTTGCCACTCAAATAGGAAAATGAAATTCCCTGACTTTTCCAGGTTTTCCAAGTGTGTTTTAAGAAAATTCCAGTCTATCTGTGTAATGCACATTGGCTGTGCTAAGAGGTTAAATTAATTATGGTACCACTTGAAAACAAAAAAATTTGCCAATTACATATGACTTACATATATATATTACATATGACTTATAAATTATCCCCAAAACATTACCATTATAACTATAATAGGAGTTGTTTTCTCCACTGAAGAATGAGATTAGAATCTGCCCAATCTATATTAAAAAATGTCTGTTTTTGCAGACATTCTCCACTTAAAGAAGAAAAATCTATTTATGATATTTTTAAATAATTCAGGTATTTTTATTTTATTTAGTAGCATGCCTAAGCAAAACATATATGCATTAAATTTTGTGATGGTATGTCATCATACTGCTAGAATTAATGTCAGGATTATGCAGAGAAACTCTCCTGAAATTTGAAGGTTTTATTTACTAATAAATAAAAATAAATTTAAAGAGAAGAAGCAACATTAAATAACATAATAACATTAAAATAAAGATAATTATTTAAAAATTGATTGGAATAATCAACGATATTTTGGTGAATATAGTTACATTAAATTGTTAGCCTAGGTGATTGTTTACTATTTTTTATTTTACTGCAAAATGACAAATAAGGCATTTATTTAAAAAAAGGGAGGGTTAAAAAGATTTTGCGGTAAAATCCTAATATACGCTATGGCTTTGGCACAATTTTGAAAATTGTCGCCAACACCAAAATGACCCGTTTACTGCTCATCATAATATCCCCAAATCCCGTGTATATGATACATAGAGGCTATTCTAACCTCCATGTTGCCCTATACTAGAATTAAACTGCTTTTATTTTATATGAGAATACGTATTTTCTTTAGTTCAACGTGCACTGCATATGCACATGGGAGTCTCTCGATACTCGTGGTTACTGAAAAGTAAAAGTTGCTGGAAACTTGCTTTGCCTTTCGCTCAAGACAATCTGATTGGAGCAGCGAAAATTGGCACTATGCCAGCTGGCCAAATGATGCTCATGCGATACATAATTCGCCTAGAAAGTGATCGGTTCCAACTTGCTTTTTTCGGGGGGAATATCCTTATGAAATTCCCTGACTTTTCCAGATTTTGACTAAAATATTTAAATTCCCTGACTTTTCCCTGAATTTTTTGGTCAATTTTCAAATTCCCTCACTTTTTACGGTTTTCCCGGTAGCATGGCAACCCTGCACTGATGACAAGGGGTGCACACGACAACAAGTGCTTGTTTTTTCCGGGCAACTGCCATTGTCAGCCTTATCTCATAGTTGATTGTATATGCATGAGGTTGTGCATGCTATGTTTTTCGTGTGTATATGAGACATTTGCTAATTTGGGTAGTTTGATTTACGCATTGGTACTAAGCCAGGTTTGTTCTACTGATGGCGTGTTCAAGCAAAATTTTATCGCTTTCATCCGGAATGGGAAACTGATTGCTCCTTTACTCAGGTAGAGGATAAATGTGTGTATTTACTGTGCTAAGCAAGTGTATCAGTTGGGAAAAATGGGAACATTGAACTTCACTTCAAAATCATTCACGCAGGGATTGAAAAGGATTTTCCACTGAATTATGCTCTAGAAAAGAAAAGGTAAGGCAGTTAAAATCTAAACTTAATGATTAACAATAAACTTTTTCAAAATCATTAAACAAAAATAAAGGAGCGACTAAGGCGGCATTCCGAGTTTCAAATATTATTGCACAGGATAAGAAACCATAGGAAGACGGTGAAATAATCAAAACTGCATTTTTAGAAGCTGCAGATGCATTATTTGATCGTTTCAAAAAGAGAATTGAGATAATTTTTGCTATTAAATCTGTACAGCTTTCTGTAAATACAGTAATGAAAAGGTTATGAGTTTTGATGTTACTGACAACTTAAAACTGATCGCTGCAGCTACTTCACTTGCAACTTGAAGAATTGACTGGTATAGTTGATACAGCTCAGTTGACCGTTTTTGCAAGAATGGTTTTTGATAATTTCGAAATAAGAGGTGAGCTGGCAAAGATTATACCATTAATAGACATGTTTTTAGCTGTTAAAGACCTTATCACATTTCAAAATATTTCTGTAAATAAGTTGTTGGGCTTAACTAATGGAGCTCGTGCAATGGTAGGCAGAGAGAAGGAATTCATAACTTTGTGTCGTAAAGACAACAGCTTTCCGAAATTTATGTCTTTCCATTGAGTAATACATGATGAGTCACTATGTGGGAATTTCTTAAGTATGATGTAATGAAAACACTCATAAAAATATTAAACAAAGTTAGAGCACATGCAATTCAGAGACGCTTGCCCAGAGCATTGATTGATGAACTAGATTGCCAGTATGGTGATGTAGTGCTTCATATGGAAGTTCGTTGGTTGAGTGGAGGAAGAGTTTTACAGCGTTTTTTGCTTTTCTCACAGACTTCACCAAAAAGTTAATATTTGCAGCTTCTTCAAAGTAGGAATAAAGATACTGGTGGAACAATTTCAGATGTTGCTTCATTCTTCAAAACCCTGGAACTGTGGGATAAAAATATCATCCAAGGTGAATGCAAACACATTGTCTGTTTGAAGCAAACCCTTGAAAAGAAAGGATCTTTAATGCCTCCTTAAAACAACAAACAATATATTGAAATTATTTCAGATTTGAGAAGTTTACAAATGCTTCCAAGATTTCAGTTGTTGTACAGTTTGTCAAATTGCCTTTTAAAGAGAATGATTCTGAAAAGTTCTCTTATTTGTGTCATGGAGCATTCTGATTTCCAAGAAGATAATGCTACAGTGGTGTTTGAACTATCTGATTTTCAAAATAATTTATCTGTAAAGGCCTCTTGTTCCTAAAGAAAAATACTCACTTTTCAACCAGGCTTGTCTCAAAGTGAAGGCAATGTTTAGCTCTACATACCTGTGTGAAATTTCGCTTTCCAGTATTAAATTTATTAAAAATAATACCGAAACAGACTCCAAGATGAACACTTGGACAACTGTATTCGAATGACAGCCACTTCCTATTCTCCTAACATTAAAAACTCATTGGTAGCAAAAAAGAGTTACACTCTTCTCATTAAAAGTCTAATCAAAATATTTTACTACATTTGTTATTTATTAATAACAACACATTCAATTTCTTTCTTATGCACAGCTCAATTTCAGTTTCTTTTTGTTATATACAATTTAATTGAAACTGATTTCATATTTACTAGAAATATAAGTTTATAGGCAATAAACAAATGTAACTTTTTTTAAAAAAGCTTCTTTTAAAGCTTCTTTTGGCTAGTAGCTCATAGTAGGATTTAAAAAACGGTACAGTGGTTTAGAAGCTTTGTAAGTTTGGTGACCACTGCATTAAACAGATTTTTCTGTATACACAAAAGTTAATATGTTGGCTACATGTTTTCTGCCACAAAGGAATTGCATTTATATACTGATAAACAAGATTCAGAAGATTTTAGGATCAATAACTAAAATTAAGAAAATTCACACAATGCAATTATGCTAAATGTAACACTGTTAGTGTAAGTGTTAACATTTTATGAGTTATTTATGAATGTTATTATAAGTTTAAAAATTCCATCTCTTTAACTTGTAAATAGCTACATAACCACAGTAATACACAACACACAAACTTCCTTCTGCACTTGTAACGAGCAATTCGAGAATTCTCACTTACTCTATGCTTTGGAATCATGATAATTTATAGTTTGCTTCAATAATTTTGTACAAAATCTTATTTATTTCCCTTAATAGACATTTTGCATATTTCTTGGCTGAAATAGCTTTATTTTTTGCAAATTTGCATATGATTTACAAGTAACTCTTATCTTAAGGATCTCCAGTGTGACTGAAATTTTCATATATAGTAAAAATTTATAAGCAGTCCAGTGCAGTGCCACATACATAAATCTTATTCTAATATAATTGCATATACATATAATATTTAGATAGTAATGGTAAGGCATCCAGATAGTTATTGTAAGACTGTGTTTAGTAGAATACAAAACTAATGTCATTACTGCACCCAAATACCATTAAAATAAATTTTTCACAAATTTGCAAAGCAATGTTTTAAAGTATCATGACAAATTAACAAAAAAATATTTCCAAACCTCCTCTTTTAATATTTTTTTCTTTTCAGATCTTGACACAGGATTTGATCCAAAAAAGTCAGAAGGTGATACTATTTTTTTCAGAATCTCATTAGCTTTGGCTTGCTCAACTTTTCGAGGACTTCTTTTACTAGAATTTGATTCTACAAAAATAGTTAAAAAATTCCTCATTATTATATATATGAAAGTAAAGGGAAAAAAAAAAAAAAAAGAAAGAAAGAAAAAGCTTCTCTGAAACATAAATGATTATTACTGTAAATATAAATGAAAACAACACAGCACACAGATCTTCTTCTGTTCTCCTGAAAAATATGATATATTTCACAAATAACAATAATATAAACTGTATTTGAAATACTTACCTCCTTACTTTCACTTTTTATGGTACCTTGATTATTTACATTCCACTTTTAACACTCAACAGATTTCTGTGTTTTTGGCATATTTTCAGCATACACATTACAATAGCCAACCCAAACATGAGCATAGCAGATATATATTTGAATACATATGGATTTATATTTAATTGTCATTTCACTATACTCTATTTTGCTGCATTCTTTTTGCATTCACTGCAAAAATATAAATAGTGGTCATAAAAATTTTTCTTTTTCATACAATTTCTTGTTTCAAATAAAATTAGTATTATTAATATTAGTGAATAGAACATCACTTATGAGCAATAAAAATACCTAAGCAAATATCTTTCATCAACCTATTAAGTTGCTGATGAGCTGTCAACTTTGTAAGGGGGCAGATAAGAAAATATTCCTTTTATTTACATAACAGTGTAAATCGAGTAAAATTTAGCACTAAATCCAATAAAATTTTATAAACATTTAAAGGTCTTTCAATAAACTAATTATGATTACTACCAATATAAAAACAATATAATTATAAGAATAAAAGTGATAAAATACTTCTTTACATTTTCAAGGACTAGAAACATTCAATTTCTTTCTCTTCATAATTAACATATGTAATATATGGGTGATAGGTTTATAATCTACCACATCATCACAGCAATTTAATATTATCTCATAAAATGGGGAAAAATCTTATTTTTTTAATGCAAAACTTGAATGTATTTAGTGAATAAAACTTTTATTCTGCATTTAATTTTGGATAAAATTGTTAATATTTCTTTGGTCCAGAATTAATTCTAATGTCATGTAGACAGAACACCTTTTAGATGATTGCTAAAAAAATAAAGATCCAAGAAAATACATCCTGACAGTAATAACCAGGTTATAAAATTGAAATATTCTTAAGACACAAAGTATTTTTGGCATGAAAGTAAGATGCACAAAAATATATTTAATGTTTGTTATATATAAAATAAATTTCATTAAGCACCATAAAAACGATCTATAGCAGGGATTCCCAACTCTTTTCTTGCATCAACCTTTTTAATGAATTTTTTTCATAAATCCTCTTACGTTTTTCTCTGTAATATAAAGCATATGACATAATCACAACACAAATAATTGCACATAAATTACTTGAGGATCACAATTATATTAAGAATATGTACAAAAGTTTTTGGGAAAAAATGATTTTGTTATTTTTATGAACAAGTTTTAGAAACAAAATCAGATTCTAATTGCATAAAAGTTCACTTTCAATTATTGTGATGGTTGTGTTTGATGAAGTGATACATGTTTTAAAAAATATTTGGCATAACTTAATCACCTTGTATAAAAATATTAAACTTGTTTCTTATTTCCTGTAGACTGATTTAACTAAAGCCTCCTTCCACTAGGTAAAAAGTGTGGAAAGTCAATAATGTTGGCTCAATAACAATTATTTTGGAATATTCCTCTTGGGTGACTTTTAAATTCTAAAACTTAGCATACTTATGTAATTACTTAATACTTATGTATGTCTACTTTAATGTAATCAGATGTTTCCGCATCATAATATTAAGATTACATACACTGCAGTTCAACATTTTTATAAGTTATCCACGCACATCTAAATTTTTTATGTCCTGGAAGCTTTTGTCCAGGTCCATGCATTCAGAAGTGCTTAAAAATAGATAAATAAATGCTGATATATTTTATGACAACAAACCTGTAAAAGTAAAGTACATATTGAACAAAATGACTGTACAGTGAATTTCAGAACGTTTGAACTGTTTCTGAAAATCTGACAAATAATGATGATATTCTGAACATAGAACTTCGTACTTTACGCATAACATTCGGAACAAAAGAGAAAAAAAATTTATAGAAGGTTTTAACTTATCTTTGAGTTTTTGATGCTTGAAACTCCGTCATTCGTTTTTGGCAAAATTGGTCCCAAGTTAGAGGTTTCATGGATGTTAATCTTCTCCTTACTGCCCTCCGAGTGTCGTCCACATTACTTTTTCTTTTGCGTCCTCTACATGCTGGCCTCTTGGCGGAGTAATCGTCTGGTTCTTGGCATTTCCGTTTTTCCCTGGGACGGCTGGTTTTGACGTCCTCCGGTCTGGAGTCCTTCTTGAATTTCTTCTGTTCGTCGTATTTTTGTGCCTCCTGTTGCCGTTTCAGTTTCCGGAACGGCGGCCTTGCTGGCACCTGACTCTGTGGCCGTGTGCGCGTTCTCCTTGATATATAATTTCTCCTGCAATCCTTTGTAGGTGGTGTTTTTCTCTTTACCACGGTTTCTTTACCCGGTGCCTCTGTATTTTTGTTTTTCTTAAACGCTGGAGTTTGAAAGTTATTTTTTCTTTTTGATACCGACGTCCGGTTTGTAGAAGGGCTAGGTCTCTCTTCAGTTCTCTGTTTCTTGGGTGGTGGAATAGTTGTTGTTATTCTCTGGACCTTCTATTTCGTTTACGACTTGAGTCCTGCAAGAAACTTTTAAGGATTTCAAAATCATTTGGATTATAGTATTTTTCACCTGGTCGGGACTTGCTTTACAGATTTCCCCTCTCTCATTCTTAAGATATAATACGACTCCTTTGATTTCCTGAATTACATAGGGGCCTTCAAACTTTGGAGCTAGCTTTGCCGTAAAATTGTCTGGGGCACTTGATAAAGAAAATTTCCGCTTCAATACTTTATCCCCAACTTTAAAATCTGCTTCACGGCGTTTTCTATCATAATATATTTTCTGCCTATTTCTTGCCGTATCCGAGCTTTTAAGCGCCTGATCAATCAGCTTTTGCACATCTTTTTGTTTAAACTCCTGCTCTCTTTGTTGCACAAAGAATAATTTATCTAAAGGCGTAATTAACTTTCTGCCTAAAAATAATTCTGCTGGAGTTTTTCCCGTAGTATCATGATTTGCCGTTCTTAAAGCATAAGCTAATTCATTTATGTAGCCATCCCAGCTTGTGATGTGTGCTCACGTAACTGCGAATTATTTTTACTATGTTTTTATTAACTCTTTCTGCTATGTTAGCCTGTGGTCTATACGGAACCATTTTGATATGGCGTATGCCAAGTCCATTGCATATGTTTTCAAATATTTGACTAATGAATTGTTTTCCGTTATCGCTAATGACTTTTATCGGTGCACCGTATTTTAAAATGTATCTGTGTAAGAATGCATCTGCGACTGTTTTGGCTGACGCGCGTTTAAGTGGAACAATTTCTGTCCATTTTGAAAAATGATCTACTATTACTAAAAGAAAACGATTTTTATTTAACTCGCTCTGGGGGAAGGGACCAAGAAGATCTATGCCTAAAATTTCATTCGGAAATGTAGCGCGAATGCTATTTAAGTACCCGGCCGGGCTGTAATTAATATCATTTATTAACTGACATTGATTGCAGGACCTGACATACGCCGTTACTATTTTGTATAATTGCGGGAAATATACCGCCTCGCGTACCCTTTTTAAAGTCTTTCTGACCCCTAAATGGACCCGCTGTTTTTTCGCTTCGTGTAATTCCTTCAAAATGCTTAATCGAAGCGAGGCTGGGATGACTGGTTTATACTCAAGATTTTCGTTTGTTGTTTTCGTATAAAATAATAAATTATCTATTATTTCATAGTTTTTTGCTCTATTTCTTATCGCATCGATATCTGTGTGCTCAAAGCTTTCGGGGTCTTTCAAATAAGCATAGATATTTCCAAATTCAGGATCAGCTTTCAGTTCAGTAATAACCGTATCTCTAGAATCTAAAATTTTTGAAGTCAACACAGCGCATTTAAGTTCATTTCCTTCATCGTCCAGTTTTATACGAGAAAGTGCGTCAGCTACATTGTTTTCCTTACCCGGTTTATATTTTATTGTGATATTATATTCTTGGAGTTTTAAAGCCCATCTTATTAACCTGGGCGTTAGGTTTTTCCCCGAGTAAAGTCTACCAACAGCCGCATGATCCGAAAAGACTGTTACTGGCGATTTGCCGAAATAAACTCGAAATTTGTGTACAGCCATTAATACGGCTAATGTTTTCTCTTCTGTAGCTGTATAATTCCTTTGTGTCTGATTCAATGTTTTACTAAAAAATGCCAGAGGATGGTTATTTTGCATAAGAACCGCACCCACCGCATAGTCTGACGCATCTGCTGCAATTTCCAGGTTTTCGTCCCCCTCCGGGAATTTTTAAAACAGGGGCATTAATAAGCGCTTCTTTTAATCTTTCAAAAGCTGTGTTAGCTTCCGCTGTCCACGTAAATTTACCCCTTTTTCTTTTGATTACTAAGAGTGGTTCAACAATATTAGCGAAATCTTTTATGAAAGATCGATAGTAAGAACATAACCCAAGGAAAGAAGAAAGTTTCTTGGCGGTGTTGGGCGGTGGGAAATTCTTAATAGCTTTTATTTTTGAATCTTGCGTTTCTATACCCTTTGCGAAATTTTATAACCGAGATATTTAAGTTCTTTAGTTGCGAACTTGCATTTTGAGGCGTTAATTGTAAGACCGGCCTCTTTTAATAATTTAAAAACTTGTTCTAGATCATTAATGTGTTGTTCCAACGTACTACTCGTTATAATTATATCATCTAGATAATTAAAGTTGATTTTCCTAGGACAGGCTTTAGAACAATGTCCATAGCTCTCTGGAATGTTGATGGGGCCCCACACAACCCAAAGGGCATGCGTAAAAATGCATAAGTGCCCGATTTTGTTATAAACGCGGTTTTATGTATATCTTCGGGTCTCATAGCTATTTGATAGTAGCCAGACGTTAAGTCCAAAGTAGAC